ACATTTGTCTGAAATATTAATTTAAGGAAAACAAAAATGTTTTCATGAAGTTTTTTTCACCTCCTCAAACACTTCTGTATTTAGAAAAATAAATCTGTACAGATGCAGATATGTACTGCACTTTGTATTCCAGTCTAAAATGTTGAATCTGAAGAAGTTTAAAGCTTTTATATTTTATAGTCTGATTCAAGACACCTTCAGGTGTTCAGCTGTTATTTCAGTCTGGACAGCAGCTGCCACAAACAACAAATATCTGACAGAGAAACATGATAAGTTCTGCTTCAATCTCCCTCTACATTTATCAACTGGACCTTCATTCTTAAAGGGACAGAAACAAGTTAAGATGACCCACAACATTTAAATATCTGCAGAATATCTAAAGATATGATTCAGTTATCAATTGGCTCTTTGTACTTTTAGTGCAACAGCAGAGCCTTTAAAAATATGTTTTCTCACAGAGTCCAAGGCTTTTAGTTAGAGGTTAAAATGTGGTTTTAACTCAATATCCAGGACATTCCTCTGTTGAAGAACCAGATTTTTAGGTTTTAGACAAATCATCTAAAGCCATGAAACTTTGAGTGGGTCAACAGAGAGTCATCTAAATTTCACAATCACCAGCTGTTCACAGTGTTGCTTGATTTCAGTTAATGCTGTAATAATCGTGTAGATTAGTCTTCAAACATCAGAGATGAAACAAACAGGAACATTCCTAAAGACAAAGTTCAATAGGAAACAAAGCAAACTTACAGTTTGTTCAAATGCTCCTAAGAGTTGAAGATCATCTGAACAACAGACTATGATACATGTGACCTGCGTCCTGGTATGAGGAGGAGCTTCACCTGTGATGGAGGCTGGACAGGCAGGAGGGGGGCAGGTCCAGGAAACCTTAAGGCTCAAAGTCTCTTCAGTCTTTCCAGAGGCTTATTATGAACCTTTTAACGCTGCGGGTTTCTGTTTTGATCATGTCCTTGTTGATTAACTTTCTTAAATTTTTCCACATTAATTAATTCCTTTGTGTTTATTAGTTTATTTATTGTTCTTTTACCCCTGACTAGTAACTTTCCTATTTAACCCTAGGAGGATCAAACCCAATGTTTTCCATGATTTTAATATTTTATTTTAAACATAAACAATGGAACTGAATCCCATTTATCTTGATACAGAGAGCTGAAGCTAATATTTAGCCTGATGTTTATTATTCTAGCCTCAGGTTTCTGTTCCTCACATGCAGATCATCTTAGTGCTGTGACTCCACTGCATCCAACTCTGATGTCGTCACTTCACAAGTGTTAAAGCTCCATTTTTCTTTGGTTTCCTGCTCATTTCTTTCCGAGGCGCTCCCGTTTTATTCAGGAAGAGCTTCAACATTCTCCAGGTCTTCTTAGATGATGAAGGAACTCAGACTGCTGACTCCACCCGGCAGACGCTCCAGGTGACCAGAATCAAACCAACACCAAAGTCGTCCCTGCAGACCAGCTTTAGATTTGGCTCAGTGTGAACATGAAGCTTCAGAAACATCTTGGTTAAAGTTTGTGTTTCAGATGTGAGATCAGAAAGTTCTGCTTTCCATCATGCCCCAGTTTTTAGTTCTGCTTTTTTCTGCTTCTTTTTCTCCACCTAACAGAGACAAGATTATTAAAATTCTTCATGGAAACGTTGAAGTCTCAGATTATCATTCAACCTGACGTTTCTCGTTTTAGTCACAAGTTCTTTCAGATGTTCCAGATGAGAAGATGTGAGCATCTGGACTCCAGTATCACCTTTAACAGAACAATCTGGTTCTAAATCCAGACTGGACCACTTGATTTCTTTGGACCTGAGCACCTTGGGAAGAAACTGTCATACAGAAACATGAAGTGCTGTGAAACAGTATTTGCCCCTTTTAGATTTCTGCTGTTTTGTCTTTTTGGCACTGAAATGTTTAACATCAAACTGATTTTCATGTTTAATGAAGAAAATTTGGATAAATACAAAAAGCAGCTTTCAAATGATGACTTCATTCATTAAAAGAAAAACCATCCAATCTGGCTCCATGTGAGAAAGTTTTCACATCCCTTGTTAAATGATGAACTGATTAAACTGCATCTTTTAGAAAGTTTAGATAAATTTCCTCAGTAAATAAGAAAAAATAAGAGCTGATAGAAATGTACAATTTCCAGTAATTAAAAAAACTGCCTAACATTTCAATGAAATCTGATGGATGAATGGATAGAAAAAACCCAGAGAGCAAAACAACTTTCTGACATTCAGTGTGAAGCTTTGACTGGAAACAAACATAAAAACAACATGTGGATCCTGGAATAATCCCAGCTTCCATCTTTAAACGACTGGAAGAGGAAGAAGTTTCCAAGGAATTAATTAGAAGAGTTTCAACAAGAAACAAACTGAATCCATGAATCTGAAAACATGTTTCTGAGCGAAAGAAACAGAGACTGAACTATCTGTTCAACACAGAGGGAAGTCAACAGTCTTTTTAGACTCAAGTCAACACAAAAATGCTGAGGAACCAGAGGAAACTGTAATGCCAGGATACAGAGGTTCAATGAATGTGGTGTTGAAGGTGTGGAGGTGAATCAGTGAGTCAGAGGAAACATTGTAGAAAGACAGAATGCCAGCAGGCCAGTCCACATACACTGCTACTCTGTTAGAGACAGAGGAGGAGGAGGAGGAGAGATGCATCTTTTTGTCATTGTGCCAGACAGAGAAACCTTCATCATCAGAGCATCTCAGACTCCAGGACTGATCGTTCCATCCAAAAATACATTCTTCTCTCCAACTGCTTACTCTGTAACTCACTGATAAATAAATTTCTCCTCTCCACTCAACCTCCCAGTAACAGCGACCAGTCAGACCAGTTCTACACAGCAGCTGAGGCCAGTGGTCAAATCTGTCTGGATGATCAGGATATGACTGAACCTCCTCCACATGTGTGACCTCCCTGTTGTCTTCCGATAGTTCAAGGTTTCTGTGCACTGTGTTTGTGTCGATGGTGAGTTGACAGGAATCTGATGGAGAGAACAAACACAATCCAGCTGCAGTTATTGATCATTTATTGATCTTTGATGACTCCTGAATGACAGTTTGAGCTGCTTTGTTGTCATGAATCAGATGAAAACACACTTACACTTCCTCAGACCTGGTGTCAACCATCGGCCTCCAGCAGGCTCCACCCTGAAAGGAGGAGGGGGGTCAGACCATCAGTCTCTTTCAGCAGCAAACATGGACATTACATGTCTCTCAGACACACATTGTCCTCCACTGAGACAGGAACAGTCCAACATCTGGATTGCAAACTGCAGTGGATGTAGGAAGGACAGTTGGTGCTGCTGCAGCACAACTCATTTCTCCAAACACAGGAAAAGCTCCAACAGAGAGGAGAAAGGAAACCCTGGACATTGGGAAACTAAGGAAACATTTCTGGAAGCTCAACCTGATTTAATAATCAGACTGACTAAAGACGTTTCTCCCTCTTCCTCCTCTATCAGACCTTCTCTGCTCCTGCAGCAGGTTCCTCCATACCTGAGAGCTTCCAGTCTCCAGTCTGGATCCTTCAGTCCAGCCGGAAGCAGCTTCACTCCTGAGTCTCCTGGATGATTGTAGCTCAGGTCCAACTCTTTCAGATGGGAGGGGTTAAAGGTCAGAGCTGAGGCCAGAGAAGCACAGCCTTCCTCTGAGACCAAACAGCCTGATAAGCTGCAGACACACAATTCAACAGCCAAGTCACATTCATGTTAAAAAAGCTAAAACTTAAATTCCAAACTAATTTTTAGCGCATGAACCAATACAGCTGATGAATACAGGATCATGTTGTGACGCAAATGAAATAGTTAATTTTCAGTAAAAGAGAAGCCTCAGAAAGCTGTGTTTAGTATTTTGATAAAGGCACTGCTGACAAATGTTCCAGTAATTATTCATTTTGAATTCATTCCTCCATGAGAGACTAAAAAGTTTGACTTATCATTCCAGATATACTGGAAGTGGTACCCTGATTTAACTAAGTCAATTTTAACTCTATTATTAAGGAAATTATTAATATATTGTTAAGAATATTTATTCATAATTACATAGGCATTGAGGCAAATTTTGATTCCCAACAATTCCCAAAATATTTTCAGAAATCCATGTCTATATCTGTAAAAATAGACATGTCCTTAGTAAGTATACTTTTTCAACCAAAGAATCTGCAAATCTTTACTTAAAGATTTGTTTTAAAGATGATGAATCCAATTTTTTTAAAATCCATAATTTACCATAACATTCTCCACATATTCTGATATGACTTTGTTTTAGTTATTATTATTTTTTGCATCCCAAGATTAAATGGTTTTTCAACAAAGAATTTATACAATACAATCAATAATGACTAGAATTTAAAACTTGTTGAAATGTTGCATTGCATAAGTTGTTCCCTTCCTCTTATAGGCTTGGTGGCCTAATAACATTTACATCATATTTAAAAGCTGGAAGGGAAAGAATACAGTCAAAACATGATTAGTAAAATTCCACATTGGTCTCTGATTCTAACCTGAGAGTCTCCAGGTTGCAGTTTGGACTCTCCAGTCCAGCAGAGAAAAGCTTCTCCTGAGTCCTGCAGGTCGTTGTTACTCAGGTCCAATTCTCTGAGACTGGAGGACTGGGAGCTGAGAGCTGAGGACAGAGCTTCACAGCTTCTCTCTGACAGGTTACAGTATCTCAGCCTAACCACACAGGAGAAAAAATGTTAATTATTTGTTTTTATAGGTAAAAGGTAAAAAAAGTCATTGAAAAAGTTTGCTTGACCATTTTTGAAGTGTCCATTCTTATGAGAATGGACTCTTTGTTAATCAAAATGAAAGAAATTTAACAACCATACTTCTAATAGTCAATCATCTAACAGTAGAAATTTTAGAACATTTCTGTTTCCTTACAGAGCTTTGTTGGAGGCTTTAACCACTGGCAGCAGCCTCAGAAGAGCCTCCTCTGAAGCAGAGTATTTCTTCAGGTCAAACACATCCAGATCTTTTCCTGATGACACTAAGATGAAGACCAGAGCTGACCACTGAGCAGGAGACAGTTTATCTGTGGAGAGACTTCCTGAACTCAGAGACTGTTGGATCTCCTCCACTAGAGAACGATCATTCAGTTCATTCAGACAGTGGAACAGATTGATGCTTTTCTCTGCAGACACATTCTCACTGATCTTCTCCTTGATGTACTGAACTGTTTCCTGATTGGTCTGTGAGCTACTTCCTGTCTGTGTCAGCAGACCTTGTAGGAGTCTCTGATTGGTCTGCAGTGAAAGTCCCAGGAGGAAACGGAGGAACAAGTCCAGAGGTCCATTTGGACTCTGTAAGGCCTGGTCAACAGCTCTCTGATGGAGAGACTTTATATTTGATTTGCTAAAAAATATAGAGAATATTGTTGAGAAAAAGGATGGTTGATTTTCTTCCATCAGGT